CTATAACGAGATGCTACCTTGGTTGTAAGAGCTGCAACGGCTGAATAGCTATGCAGTTCGACAAGCCTCTTGAAGGTGTTGTTTTCAAATCTATGGAATGATCCTGGATAAGCCACTGACGGATGCTTGTTTCGGATTATTTCTTCTGCCTTCTGCCTAGAGCTATAGCTGGTACTACTAGTAAGAAAGATATTGGTTCATTGAATCTATCACTAGCCAATACTCTATACCGAAAAATAGGAGTACCCTTCTATCTTTCTCCGTTGTAGAGATTTGTAGAAGCAAGCCTTTTTTATCCTGATCCCTGTAACTTCTTTACTACTGGGTCTGATTATGGTATCAGTAAGTCTAATTTGGTTTCAATGATTTATAAGATAATATTTCTTTTGGTCCCGTTCCTAGTGATTCCTCGATTTTCGGTTCCGTAAAGCGCTACTCCGTCATCCTTTTCTATCAATGCTTTTTTGGTTTTTTGTAAAATTGAATTTCTCTTCCGATATATTTAAATGTATGTTCACAATTGATAATATACTATGATTTTGTTTTCACAGAAAAAAAATTTGCTAGATGATTAAAGAAGCGTTGTCATCTTATGACATCTAAATAAATGATATGATATCGATTTAAAGAATGTTGATGATTCTATCAATCAAAAGGTTAGGTCTAGTTTATAGAGATAATAGAAATAAGATACTCTTTGTAAGTTATATGGTGGATTATAGATCATTTTTATTATAGAATGCAAATATCAATAACACGAATGGTTTTATCTAGAAATGAAATCTTATTCTTTTAACTTTTATAAATCAATAATCGGGCAGTATGACAATAGATAAGCACTTTATTGAATGTATTAAAAATGAATGACATTTAAAGCGATAGACTTATTAAAATATTTCAATGAGCTAAAAATATTTTATAATATTAATTTGCATGTTATTGTGATTATTGTGGTACTTCAAGTTACAGTTCTCCAGTAAAAAAACCTACTTGCAACAAAATTCGAGAATTAGCTGACATGCTGATGTTTCGTTTAAGACCGAATTAATTCTTATTATAATAACATAAATGAAAGAATGCTAGAGACGGTCCCGCTTCTAGAAAATTTGAAAGTACAACATGTGTGGTTGTTAGCCTTTTTAACAGAAGACTTATTAGGTTCTGAGTTTCCTAGACATTTTTGTCGTTAAGCTCAGAGGCATAATTGCATACTCAAGGCAGGAGAGCATTATGTCCAATATGTCGCTCTCATTGTATAAGATACATCCTAGATTAAATTACTACTCTATTCTGTCCAGAAATCATGATATCCTTCCGAAAAGCAGATATTTACTCTTGTGGAAAAGCTCTGTATAATGTAATTTCGAAATATTTGCTATACTAGCAAATATTACTAAACTACAATGCATTCGGAACACGGTCTTTAGTACAAAAATTTTATTTTATTATACAATTTTTATATTTTCTCAGTAATTTATTTCGAATACATATATATTAACCATGAATTAGTCTCTTGTTCATAGCGACATCTCTATAGAATCTTTGTCATTTTATTTGTCCCTCGACCAGCAGGAGAATAACGTATCATGTTCATATGATTGATCGATTAATTAATATTTCGTTTGGAAAAAACATATTAGAAAAATGAGTTTATCCTATGCTGAAAGTCTTTCTTATTTTCCACATAAAGGCAAAGTTGGTATGCCTGAATTAAATGAAAAATCTGACGATTTAAAAAGTAAAAAAATAACTTATATTGTAACGTTTAATTCGTGTTTTTAATATTAATTATTATTTATTTAGTTAAATTAGATCAATTCGAACAAATGATTCGTCAAAGTCGTCATACTGTTGTTATTAGTGGAGCTGGTATATCCACAGATGCTGGTATTCCAGATTTTCGAGGACCCAACGGTTAGAAAATATGAAGAAGAAAAACTAAAATTTGTTTTTGTTTTTCTCTAACAAAAAAATTATTTTAGGCGTATGGACATTAGAAAAACGAGGTGAAAAACCTTCATTTAATACTAGTTTTGACAAAGCCGTACCAACATATACACATCGAGCTTTATGTAAATTAGAAGAAAATAATTATTTACATTTTGTTATTAGTCAAAATATTGATGGTCTTCATCATCGATCAGGACTTCCATTAGATAAATTAGCTGAATTACATGGAAATGTTTTTTCAGAAGAATGTGAAGTCTGTCATACACAGGTTTGTAAATTTATATTATTAAAAAACTACCAAAAATGAAAACAAAGAAAATTTTAGTCCTCATAAAGACTTTTTTTTTTCGCTTTGCAAGGTATTTATAGTGAACTCGATTATGATAAATGAATGAATAATTTTTATTCTTTTTAATATTCATGATTCATATCATGTCAAAAGAATATCATTCATGCATAAAAAAATGACCTTTGGAAATGATATAATAGTACGATTTCCTATCCATTATAATCTGTTCCTTAGTTTATGTTTTGGTTTTTTTTCTCATATTCAGTGTTTTTCTCAAACCTCTTTTTTCGATTAAAATCAACAAGGAAAAACGAAATTCTACTATTTCGAATTACAGTACTTTATCGTACTTTGAAGCACCGAATTCTAACTTTTTACCTTTTAGTTAACATTCATATATTATCATTTGCTAGATATACTTTTAATATGATAAGAAGCTTTAAACCTCATCAAAATCGAAAGACTTTGTTTCAAATGATGATAAATGAGAATGTGTAACACATTCTTAAATTCGAATAAAACTAATCGAAAACATGGAATCATCACTAGCTGACAGAATTACATAAATGACACGTGCTCTGCAAAATTGAAATTTGTCATTTAGAAAATGCTTTCATATAACTTTTAATGAAAACACATTAGGAGGACAAATTATTGCACCGTATTTAGTCCAGATTTGTAACTAGTTCACTCTGACCTGTCTTCACTGATTGGAATATATCTTATAGATATATGCGACTTTTTCACTGTTGAGAGTTGTTGAGAACAAAATTTGATTGTTCTTATCAAAATTATCAAATAGTGTCAGAGCAGTTAGTTTTTAATAAACATCAAAGGTAAAGTCAAAAAATCCAGCGCTGTTAAGTCGTAGAGTTAATTTCAGTCTTCATTTTGGCAGTAAATCGAGATTTCTAACGTTGTAAGTTACGGAGAAATCTGTGACGCATGGACACATCGAAAATGAAAATCCTATAGTGAGAAAAAAAAACAAAATAAATTTTAACACTCGAATTCAAAAGTTTCTCTTCCCTAAACTAATAGAAGAAGAGTCTTCGAATAATTATCATAGATCACCGTAACAAGATATCAAACAAAAATTATCTGTTGAAAAAGAACCTATAAATTCATCTAAATCGATATACATCATGTAGAAGAAGTGTTTTCAAATAATCTAAAACACATTAAAATATGTTGTACTCGTCATGATTGAGAATGTAATAAAATATATTAAAAATAAAAAAACAAAGTAAATAGTAATTCATAGTCTATTTAATATTGATGGAATAATACTGAAATATTTTTTGAATATCTCTTCTGTCGATGTAGACTCAGTTATGAATTAATATATAGTAGTTTTATTACATTTTGTGGTTTTTAATGTTTTATAATAGTCTTTTTCATCAATGCCAAAGGTCAATAAAAAAAAAGTTTGAAAGACTTTAATAATGAAAGTTTTTAGAACAAAAAACATTATTTTCTTGAATTACCAATGTCTGAATCGTCGATATATCTCCTTATCTTTTATTTAGATAATTCGTCCAACAAGTATTGGTTCCTATTGTCGTAAACGAACGGGTAATGTGTGTAATTCGATGAAAAGACGAAATAAAAATTTATCATGTCGTGGAAAATTACGTGATACTATTCTTGATTGGGAAGATCCATTACCAGAATTAGCACTTCGATTATCCGAACAACATTGTGCGTAAGTAACTATAAACAAATAATTTTTTTTATATAAAACAACATTCTGTTTTTGTTTTTAAGTAAAGCAGATTTATGTATATGTTTGGGTACATCATTACAAATTCGTCCATGTCGTGATTTACCAAGAAAAACTAAAAAAAATGGTGGAAAATTAGTCATAGTTAATTTACAAAAGACATCATTAGATTCATTAGCTGATTTAATTATTCATGAACGATGTGATCGTGTTATGAAATATATTTTGGAAAAATTAAATTTAGAATCTGATGAAAAGTATTTTGAGAAAAGAAAAAAAAAATTTGTTTCTATTAAAATTCATTATAGGTCAGCTTTAATTAATATATCAAAATATTCTCATGTTAAAAAAGTCGTTCTTCTATCTGGTAAATCCAAATCAGGAAAAGATTATATTGGTAAAAAATTAACTGAACAACTTCCTGCTGTATTATTACATATAAATGATACAATACAAGCTGAATATACAAAAATACATAATGAAGACTTATCCAATACTTATGAAAAAAATATGATTAAGTATGTTAAAGTCCTTTGTTTTTTTTTAGCTTCGAAAAAAAAAAACTCATTGTTGAAATAATTAATTTTAGATGGGAAGAAGAAAACTGTCGTGAAGATCCAACAAGGTTTTGTCGAATGATGATTATACAAAATGAACAATTATGTTTATCATATCCAATATGGATTATTAGTGATATTAAATCTTATAAAGAAATTGAATTTTTTAAGAAGTATTTTAATGATCGTTTATTAATTATTTGTATTGAAGCATCAAATGATATACGCGAAAAACGTGGTTGGAACTCACAATCGGATATTGATCATTCTGTTTTAGAATCTCAATCAGATAAAACTATTCAATCGTCATTTGTTTTTTCCAATAATGAACACAACAACTTTAATGAACAAATGAATGATTTGATGAAAATAATTAATTCTTAATAATATGCCTTTTTTTTGTTTGTTTGTTGTATACTTTTCGATATAGAATAACATCAAATATAAATTCATCTTTCTTTCTTCCTTTTATAGATTATGAATGGATCATTTGCCAGATACTCAACATGAACCAATCATTGAAGAGGATTCAAAACTCGATGAAGACGATGCACTTGATCCTCGAATTCAAGTTTGTTTTTCTATATTTTAATTTTTTTTTGTATTCTCCTCGATATAATTCAGATTGAACTAGAACGATTAAATTATGCTAGTGAAGCCATCAATCAATTAGAAGTTCAACTTGATGTAATTTTCAAAAAAAAAAACAAGAACAAATCCTTTTTTTTCTATCTATTATTTAGGAAGCACGAAGAGTATGTGATGAATTTAAAGAAAAATCAGAAGAAGAATTATTTCAATTAGAAAAAAAGATTGGTGAAGCTGTATCTAAAGCAAGAACTTATTATGATGCTCGAATAAAACTTCGAGATGCGAAAGAAAAATTAATTAAAGCTAAACATCGATTTGAACGTGCACAAGCATTACATGTTGCTGCTAAAGAAATAGCTATTGCTTCGGTAATAATAAATTTCATTGTTTTTATTTATATAATTTAATTTCAAGGCTGATTATATGGATGAAGCAGCAAGATCACATCAAAATTCGACAACATGGAATGAAACATATCTTCAAGCTAGTGCAAAAGTTAGTTTACATGATTTCATTTAAAATAAAAATAAAATTATTTTATCATATTTTTAGGCAAAGGAAGCTGAACAAGAAAAATATGAAGCTGATTTAGATCAACAAAATGCTGAAAGAGTTCATTTTGATCTGGAACAATTAGTTTTAAAATTACAAAAAGAATCTCGACGAGCGATTAATAAATCAAAGTAGAAGAACTTTTATGAATAACCAAAAGAAAAAAATATTGTCTTTTTTTTATAGACCTTATTATGAAATGAAAGTGGAATATCATAAAGAATTAGACGTAAGTCAAACAGAAATTACTAGAAGAGCTATAAGAAAATGTCTTACACGGGAAAACAGAAAAAAATTTGATTTTAATTCTTTGAGTTCCAACTCATTTATGCTGGATTAAATTGAGCTAGATTGTTAGATTAGGATGTGAGCGTAGAGTATGTGGTGTGAATGTAAGCAAGTTTTCTTATTGATATTATTCAATAGAAGTCTGTCAACTACATCCACAATTTGACTTCGGCCCTTATACTCAGCCACAGGCATTCACAGTCACATTTCACACCCTAAAACATCCATTATTGCTTCATTTCAGGAGATTATGTATTAATTATTATAATTTATGTTATGAAAAATAATTGTAAAAGATGTGTAGTAGTTCTTCTACTATGAAACAGTGTCCAACCTGGAGTTGGGTCTGGTCAGGTCAAACTATGCTCGGATCGGGTCACGAAAAATTAACCCATGTCGGACACTGTATGGAACTCAAACGGTTAATCAAATTTTATTCTGATTTTCTGTCGAAATTTCTTGCATAGGTTTTGCATTTTGTAACTGAGAACAAGCAGAAATCTTTACTATGCAAACGTTTTGGAAATTTCATTTGAATATTAAATAAAAGTAGAGCATTTATTCAATTCAATAACATCCCTAGTCGACAAGCAAGGCTGAGTACACTATCAATTACATTAAACTGCATGAGTATTACTAAGATCGAATAGTGTAACTCAAAATAGTAACTGATCTGACTCATTGAATGGTTGCAGAACAGAACTTGTTGCCATGCAAGAAACTGAAATTGCCAAAAATTTTATTAATATAGCAGAGAAATCATTCGTCGAAGTCAAGAAAATAACTAAATATCTATTCAAGGATAACGAACTTCAGATATGAGTATGAATACGAATGTTTATTAAACGCTTACAGTTGTACAGAAAGCGTTAGACAAGAGCCCGTAGTAATTGCTTTGAAATCTATCAAAATCGACACAGGCTTTTGTATTCTGGAGCTTTCGTCTATTGAAGTTTTTGCTATTACAAAATACATATTTTTTAGTCTTTTCGTAACATTTTGATCAATCCAAAAGGTGAATGTTGGTCTTCAATTACGATCTGCTAGCGAGATTTTCTAGCAATTCATTGCGAGGATTACTTCTTTATTTTTCACACGCTGTTCTCACTCTCACGTTGTGCTATGTACGATTAAGTCACACATGTATAAATTGAGATCTGTGGAACATGAAAAAGAATCATGCTGTAGTCGAACATGCAACCAATTGTTGCTTGTTCCTGATGTCTACACCCACATACACTTCGCTTTCATAGCTCCTAAAATTAATGATAGATTTAATCATTTTAACATAAATTTATTGACTTTAGTTTCAAAAACGTAAAGTACGTGGCCTTGAAAATTGTGTTAATGAAGCTAAAAGTCAATATCAAGAATCATTAAAAAATCTTGAACGTATTAGTAATGAAATTCATGAAAAACGTCATCAAAAAGCATTACAAAACGAATCTGAAGAAAAAATATCAGATGTAAGTGAACAACAATTAACTTATACTCACATGTTATCAATTTTCAAATTTCTACTTTCAAAAACAAAAAATCTGTAAGAACTATAATTTATTTTCTTATCTCTTAGAAACAATCATTATCAACACCAGTTTCAACTAATAATCCAACAGTATCAATGCGAAAAAATCATTTAGATGGCATGCTTCGTACATGTTTACTTCGTACAGAAACTTTACCAGCTGGAGTATTCGCTAATACAAATGATCGAAATCCACCGGAATATGATAAGACAAGAAGAAGGACAGATGACTTTAATAATCAATTTATTCTTTGTCCAAAAGGGGCACCATGTCCAAACAATTTAATTAATCCTGAACAAGAAGCAAAAGCATTACTTGACAGCGCTCGTGATAGATTACCAAGTTATTCATCATACGTATCACAAAGTACGGATGATGAAGATGAGAAAACTGCATCATATAATATTATATCTGATGAACAACTTGATCATTTAACTTCTCTATACAATTCTTTCTCATCTGAGTCATCAACGCCAACAGGTACGCATGATCAATTACATGAACACACACATAATATTATTTCAAAATCTTTATTATATTAATTCATCAAACTGTGTTTTTTTCAAATCTAACTATTTTTTTCTGCTTTAATAATTGTTTTTATTTTTCAAACATAGTCAGTGAACTTAGTTTTCAATTACTAAATTCCAAAATACAAACTAAAGCTCTTTTTTTTTCGTAAACTATTTAACAGTGATTGAGAAGAAAATTGAAAAAGAAAAGAAAGAGATAACCATATTAAAAAACATACGGTGATGAAATTAGTTCATTTACATAGCTATTTAGATAAGTGCTAATTTTTTTATACTACATGAACCATTGTTTTATTTATTTTTCTCTTCTTTTTCGATTCGATAGACGAAAAAAAAAATTTATTATTTTGATAGAAAAAAAAAGTGTGTTATCTATATGCATTTATTAGTATTTTTTTTTTACTATTATTTTACATTTCATCGAACCGGTAGTTACTCCAGGCACATTAATTATGCATCATTAGCATTTTTTCCTATCTGTGATATTCTTACAGACTGTAGCGTTCTTCCTTCTTTTTTTTTATGTCTGAATATTCATGATATCAGAAAATAAAGTTTCTATTCATAATATTTCCAAAAGTGACATTAAGACAAGTATAAATTTATTTGCTTTAACTCCATTAAATATGAATGGTATCAATTTTATGCCCAGTTTGACTTTTTTTACATACATGCATTTATATCGTATGCCAATTGAGACAAGACATCGAATCAATTAGAATGAATACAAAATAAGTTCATGTGATTGGTCACACTAAGGTGTGATCAAAAAAAAGAAGGAATAGGGTGGAGAAGTCATAGCCCTACCATTCAAGTGACAACAAGCTCAAGCAATCAACAAAATCGATAAATGAACTTGATTTTGTTTTTTTTTTTACATACAAATCAGAACAAGACATCTATTCATAATTGGACTAAAATGTGATAAATAATGATGTTCTAATAAGATCATCAGATGATTCTCACGAAGGAATTGCTTTTATTTCACACACAATTGTTTTCTATTTGCTTACATTTGATAGAGAGAAGGAAAAAAAAAGATAGCATAATACAACTAATAATAAAACAGACGGTGGAGGCATTTGTAACTGAAAAAAAAAGAAGGCATGACAATGTAATTATATCATATAAAAGAATCCTTATCTTTTCGAGTATACCGTGATTGAACATCCAACAGAATTAATCAATATGAAACCACTTGAAGAAATAAAAAAGATAATGTTTTTCAATTATTATTTGATTCAATATAATTTTTCATTCAAAAATTTTTAATAAATGAAAGAAAATTGGTTTAGTCTCATTTCATGGACATTTTTTATTCAACAGTATTTTATGAAATAGAAAATTCTTCTAATAATACAAATGAGAACATAATTCAGCCGTTCATAAGATAGTCATAACAAAATCTAATTATTATTATGTTTTACTATATAGTCAAATAAATCTGTTATTTTATGAAGGCTTGTTCATATTGTTGCTTCCTCATAACCATGTTGAATATATAATTTTTCTTTAATTCATCTATTACTACAAGTTTGAATTGAAGGTAACAATATTTGCATTAATACGGTGGTGCCAGCTTTTTAATCCGTACGTGGAATTATAGAAATCTTATATTTTCACCTAAATTCTCTGATCGAATGCGTTTTTTATAACAAAATTGTTCAGACAGAAATTGTCTCGATAACATGGGCAGACATTCTTTTCATTTTTGACTCGGATTGAAAGATCGAAAAATGTATAACGTCACAGAGCTGTATGCAATGAAAATAAAGAGAACGAAGAAAAAAAAATAGTTTTTTATATAATGCATACAAAGAAAGCGAATTGATTGATTTTTTTTCCAGTATTGGACTCAGAAGGAGCATGTTTGATATTACCGCAATCCGTCGATTCTTTCTCTCATACCATTATTTCATAATAACTTTATGATGAAATATCACATTTTTATCGCATTAACATTCATATTTCTTCTTCTGCTATTAATTCACTTCTTTAGCTTCTCTCTCGAAAGTTCTTTGTTTACTAATATGTTCTTCCTTTGTTATATCAATAATCTCTAAAGTAAAAACTTATTAGAAATTGAATAAATCAAAAATATGATCCATATCGCTAATTTATAATTCTCTATTTGTTTCGTTCTTTTCAATCTCTAATGAAAGATCGAAGAATGAAAAGCAATAGAAATAAATAAATAGCAATGCTTTTAATTGTAACAAGAAAAATGTATGCAGTTCTGACAGTGACAAATTTAGAAGAGAGTAGTTGACCTCATGCTCTAAAATATTTTTCAAGTTTTCTCAGTAGAAAACGCCTGAAAATGAGATAATGCGACCTCTAATGGATTGCACAACATGTTTTGCGATCATGATCAACTTCCATTCCCAAAATCCCAAAGCCGTCACTAAGTACCTGTCATTTTTCTCATTTGGGACAGTGTATTGAAAATGATCAATTTCTACCATGAAGTTTAAGAAAATTTCGATTCAACTGTGCTAAACATTCACGTTATCTTGTCTGAGCAATGTTTTACATTCTACTTTCAAAATCTTGAAGAGTTAGATCAGCCATACATATAAAATTGTTAAAGACTTAAAATACTGTTCTCTAGAAATCAACAATAAATGCAATGTTTTCTAGATAATAGGAAAAGCAATGTTTTTGAACTCACATTCAATCAAATTTTGTACATCAACTCATATATTTTTATGTCAATAATTGTATTATATTGAACTATATTCGATATAAGATATTTTCATTCATAGAAAAATTATTGAAAAGAAAATAAAAATATTTCTTTTTGTCATTTTCTGAAATCACAACATCAATGAATAATAATGATTCTGGCAACAAAATCTTCTTTTCTTCCTCGTTATTCCTAGCCAATAATATAATTTTTTTCTCTTTAACCAATGAAAGTTGTTTATCGTTGCTTTCTCTCTCTCTTTCTCTCTCTTGCCTTCCTCTTGACGATTTATCGCAAAGAGAAACTGTGTTATTTGATACGAACATTGAATCATAAAAAAAAAAGTGAAGCTGTATACAAGTCTACTTCTTTACAATATACACGAATTATCATCATCATCGATCTCTCAATTGAAAGAAGACAATTTCTAGGTTCTTTTTTTTTTATACTTTTTTATGATTATAACATGTGATTAAAGTAATAATAGAAGGAGTAGCTCTATTGAAAAGTTCTAATTTTATTACTACAACAATAATAATAAATCCATCTATTGATTATCCGTGAAATTATCATTGACGTTTATTACATCATCTTCAACACCTATAATCATCAAAAGAAGTAAGCAATAATTTTTTTTGTTTTTTTTTTTACGACGAATTCTCTCAAAAAGATATTCAAGTGTAAAAAAAATAATAAATTATATATTACTTATTTTATTAATTTAGAATATGAATAATAATAATATAAACTATTCATCAATAATGTCTAATGATCATGAAACAGGTACATCAGGTGAACCTTTACGTATGTTTGATCCATCATATCATACTTATCCTCCACATTCAAATCTTTATTCGGATTATACAAATGCAGCATCAAAAATGGAAGCATTGGATTATAACTATTGGCCAACACCATCAACTACTACACATAATATTCTAACAAATCCAACAATTGCAATTCTTGATCAAACTCCAACATCATCCTCATCTTCAACCTCGTCCTCCTCATCATCATTATCAAATCCAACAATTGAAACACTTGTACCTGCTTCATCTGTACAGTTAGCCCAAATAAATACATCAGCTACTATTTCCTCAACACATCATCATCATCATATACATCAACATCTTTACCCGCCGTCACCTCCACCATGTAATGATCCATCAACATGGCTTGGCTCAGGTAATTATCAAGCATTACATTCAACAGCAAATCCATCATCCTATCGTCATTATACAACTCCATGTTCATTTTATTCAACAAATAATTTTTATGATCCATCACAAACACAATGGACACAGCCTCCACCACCACCACCACCAGCATCACTTCCAATTAAATTTGAATCATCTTATAGTCCACCCAACTATTATGAAATACCCAATCATATAAATCATTGTCATGAACAAATATCTAAGGATGAACCATCAAATTCACCACAGCAAATAAATTGGCATAAAAATGACTCATCATCAACATCAATGATTCCAATACCACCAAAAAATCCATTGAACGGTAATCAATTGACCTTTAAATAAAAAGGAATATGTTAAAAGGGCATTGATTGAGAAACATGCGCTTCCACATTGGTGTTATAGTTGAAACATGTTCCGAGTGTAAACATACGATGGGTTAAAATAATGCATTTGATAAGTCAATTTTGTTTGATTGATTTTTGTAAGAAAAAAAATGTCGAGTGCCATAAAATAGTACCGCAATACGTGGTGCAGATTTTTTTTCTTTTTTTTTTATGACTTTCAATTGTTGATATACCTACATGAAAGATAAGGCCAATCTTGAAGCTTAGCCAAAGAAATACATGAAGAACAAATTTCTTAAAGCTTTAAAAATTAATCTTTCCTTTTTTTTTCTTTGACTAGGAAAAACACGTACACGTGATAAATATCGTATTGTTTATACAGATCAACAACGATATGAACTTGAAAATGAATTTATTATATCAAAATATATTTCAATACCACGTAAATCAGCATTATCAGTAACATTATCATTAAGTGAACGACAAGTAAAAAGAATAATAATGAAGTGTAATTTAGTTTTTACATAAAAAAAATTTTTAATTTAGATTAAAATTTGGTTTCAAAATCGTCGTGCAAAAGAACGTAAATTAAATAAAAAACGACAAGAAATATCTTCAACACGCCAATTAAATAATTCAAATGATGTTGATTCACCAAGTGATGGTGGTCTTGAAAGTCCAAATTATTATCAAAATTATTCGTAATTCTATTTATTTCTTCTAAAGAGACATATTCAATATCTTTGTGTCTTTTTTTCTTTTCTCTTTTTTTTTGTAATTTTCAAAGAGTCTTCAAAATAATATTTTGATCGTAATATTATTTTTTTTTCTTGTTTATCTATTGAAATAAGAATAGAACATCACTTGCATGTAAAGATAATGAAGGACACATTATTTCTTCCTTCTTTCGACCAAAACGCTTGTAGTACAATGTATGATGATAACAATACATGGACGTTTTCATGTCATATTATATATATATCAGTTTGCATGCATACTTCTAGGTACTATCGTCCGAATGGACAAAAAGAAAAACAAAGAAATGTTCATCAGTAATCTCTCTCTATCGTTCTCTCTCTCTTATATCGTCAGTCATTGTCTACGCTAGTATAAAAGGACAGATACACATATACGTACACATTCTGTTGGACGTCGACTTGTTTTCTATCTGTTTACAACAACATATACCAAACAATGTCATTTCTAATGTTAGTCTATTTAACATATTATTAAGAAAATATCAAATTTTCTTCTTTCAATAGGTTACACGATTATATAAAGCAGCAGCAACAACAACAACAACAGCAACAACCAAAAAGTGCTATTGCTGAAATGGATTTAAGTGTGCTCAGTTGTCTTGGACCAGATTTTGATAAGCAAACAGTATTCAATTTGCTCAGTGATAGTAATTATATTGAATCAGGTTTAACACAATCTACTGCATCAAATTGGTGGGCATCTAGTCCATCTCAATGGAATAACTCATTGATACAAGTACCTGTTTATACACCTCGTTCAGTAATGAACGACCTTGAACCTCAATCACCTACAAGTGCTACTATTAAACGACCTTTATCTGATGTTAGCAATCGAACGATTGGTAAACAAGAAAAATATTTATTTTATTTTAAAATTTACTTTTCTATTTTTTTATGTAAGCTGGTCGATCATTGACAAATAACCAAACACCACCGAAAATAGAATTGTCAACACTTGTACGATCACCTACAACGGATTTGCACAGTCGAGTGCCATCATCTATTAAACGATCACGTCTTGCACCTAACTTTTTTTCTTCTACTGTCTCTTCGTCATACGAAACATCACCACCAACAACACAACAATCGTCTGACGTAGTATCAACAATCGATACAACTGAGTAAGTTATAGTCTAATCATAATAATCTCTTAAATTTGATATATTTCAATTATTCTAGACGAGCCTTGGAAATTGCTCTTTTACTTAAAGAATATCCTGATTGTAGTTGTGTACTTATTACACTTATTCAAGAATATCAAAGCCGGTAAAAAAAACGTTTCTAACAGTATAAAATTCTTCATAAGCCTTGATGCGCGATAAAATTAGTTTATATATATATAGACAGAAAACAATCCTTAACCAAATGTTTTCATCTGAGTCTTAACTACTGAGTTCAATCTTTCAAATGAGAGAGTAGTTGGATACTATCGTCTTTTGTAATTACAAAAAATATAAGCATGAGAATATGTGAGATTAAATTCTTCGCAGTTGATCAACGTGATTTTTTAATAAAGTGCTGAATAATTTTACATTAAAAAATTACGAAGTAATAGTCAATAATTATTTATCTTACTCGCCTATTCAAGGTTCCATCGGACTGTATACTGAGTAACATGATTAAAATAGTGTGTAGAACAAAAAATAAAGAACAATAATGTATTTTGTACTATTGCCAAATTATTTAATAATCGAGTTTTACCTCAAAGAACGTGATGCTAAATTTGCTAAAGTATGATTCACTTCTTATTAAAGAATTAAGTGTAAGGAGAATAATTCTCAAACTGTAAACAAAATGAAAGTTCGATATTAAATACAAATACTTAAGACTCATATAAAAATGTTCTATTACGAGTTCTCTTCTGTCTGCATACAAACTAATTTTAGTAGCGTCTCAAGACTTATAAAAGATCTTATAACTTTTTGTATTTTATTAGATTTCAAAAACCTCTCCATGTAAGTGAATTATATACAATGAAACATGCCATTGACATTCAAGATTATGGAGGTAACCGAATTGCTCGTCTATTGCCAGAATTTCGTACTCGTTTCGATGAAAATTATATTAATGTATGTAATCGTATATTTTATTATGTTTAATCAATTATTATTAATTTATAGACTCAACTTGAACAACCTTATTGTATAATACATTGTTCAAAAAATTGTATTGTTAATCCTGATCTTGATTTACCATTTATTCAAATACCATTCCGAACATTTGCTGATAACCTTCGTCAATTATTAATTCAACATAATGGTTCAATGCCTTTAGCTAGGTAATGATTTAATTGATAATTATATTTTCTACGAAAGTTTATTTTTAGTTTTCCTCAATGTTATTCTCATAATTTCGAACCGTTAATTGATCATTATGAAGGTGTACCACTTGAGCATTATATTTCATGTTAGTTTATTTAATATATTTTTGCTATATTCATTCCAGTATTGTTTTCTTTAGGTATCAAAGATATTCAAATCGTAACTGGACAAGGAGTTATTAAGAAAGTTCAATTTTCTCATATACCAGGAGGATCATTTATATCAATGCCATTTGATACATCAAATAGTTAGTGTGATAATTTGATAAATTTCATTTTGTATTGTTTTTTTATATACTTTGTAGTGCATGTCGATACATGTGCTGAAGTTCAACAACGTTTACAACAATTTTCACGTGAAGTTCTTGATTTACTTAAAAACCAAGGTTCACATTGTCGTTTACCTGTTTCAAAATTTGTTTCGACTTATCATCAATATTTTAATCGACAATGTCGTGTTGCTGATTATGGTTTTTCAAAAATGATCGATCTTTTATCTGCCATACCAAAATCAATTCAAGTAATCCAAAAAGCTTTTTAATTTAAAAGAAGTAACGATTGTTTTTAATAGATACTTGGTGATGGAAATAAACGTATTATAACAATTACTCATCGATGTCAAATGAAACGATTTACTAATGATATTATTCGTATATTGAAAAATAAACCACAACGATCAATGTCAATTAGTGAAATTCCCATCGAATACGGTATGAAGAAATATCACTGTTTTCAACTGATAAGTTCGGAGCAAAAGTTTTGTTTTAAAAGCTATACAAAGCAGAAATTGAAGGATGTGGATGCTAATAGCATTCAATAAAGATAATCGTGGTAGCTTTTTTGAAATTATGAAACGATATAGGCAACTTTCTGAGAACGTGTGTGTATGGGTGTGACTATGAAGGCAAAATCCGCGCTCACATCTACACTCTCTTCTAATGTGTCGAGGACTTTCCTAAAATGGATTATCAAAATAGTTTTTCAGAAAAATAAAACAAAGCATATCCTATTGGCACTGAAATCCGATATAATCTCATATAAAGATTGAAAAAATGAAATCAATTTTATAAAATATTTGTATTTTATTGTTGTAGAAATAGCTTATAAAAAACCATTTTGCATCGCTGATTTTGGTATGTGCTATTTGGACGATCTTGTTAATGAAGTAAAAGATAATAAAGAACTAGTAGTGGAAGCTGAGAAGAGCATTATTAAGCTTTATCGTAAAGGTAATCTTTTTATATAAATAAAAAATAAATGAAATTCTTTTTGGAATTTTCAATTTAGAACGAACGGATTTAGAAGTTTATGCAACCAGCAATTTTCAACAAGATATTATTGATATGCTTCGTGTCTTACCTGATTTTAGTATACCGTTTCAAAAATTCATTCCATCCTACCAGTGAGAAAAGAATTTTTTCTTTTTTCTAAATTCTATACATTTGAATGTATTTATTTAGCCATCATTTTGGTTATCAATGTAAAGTACAAACATTTGGTTTTTCTCGTTTAGTTGATTTACTTGAAGAACTTTCTCATGTTGTCAACGTATAAGATATTTTTATAATGTTTTCAATTCGCGTTTCTAACATGATGTTTTTTTTTGAATATTCAAATTAGATTAATGAAGATAAGAATGGTGAGAAAATTGTTCAATTAACATCAAATATGGTGGGACATGCAATAGTATTAAATATCGAACAACTCGTTCGAAAATCTCATGGTGAATTAAAACTTAAAGATCTACGAGCACAATATTTACAAGTTTATCGAAATGAACTTAATCCAGAAGATTTTGGTTTCAACAAGCTTGAAACATTACTTCACACAATGACGGATAAATTTGAGGTATGTTTTCATACAAAATTATTTTAAATTTTTATTTTTTTGTTATATTAGTTTCATTATACTGAACCTGATGTTTCTATTTCAATCAAAGAACCAAATCCAATAATATTACAACTAACGAAAAACGTTATTCTTACATTGATGCTTTCTCAATGCCAATTATCTTTTTGGCAATTAAAACAAGATATGCTCGTGCGCTTTAAACAAGATATTACGTTGAATATGTGTCGTAATGAATTACGAGATTATGTCGAGGTTTATTTTGAAATTTTTATCATATCTAAAACAAACATTTTTTTACTAGATAATTGATCAAACTGTTCGGTTAACTCCACCAATGATTTTTGCTTACAATGTTGTACTTCTTCTAAGTCCATGTGATGGTCGTATGCTTTATGATGATTTTATTGTTGAATATCAACGTCGAACTGGTTCAAGTCATTTACTCTATCCAACAGATTATGGTTTTCCAACAATGGTTCGACTTTTTGATGCTATTCAACTTGTTGCTCAAGTTCGTGGTCGTCGCAATTTTAAAATAATTATGCTTGATCCTGAATTTCGACGTATGTTATTAAAGAAAATTCATGTCTTTTTTCTTGGAGCTGACAAATTTTTTCCAAGAAAATAGTGAATGCAGATTTAAATAACGATTTTTGCGGATTCTCTCCCACGTAAACTCTGGTAACCGAGGACAACAGACGTCAGATTCCTTTTCCAGAGTTTCCTAGCAACAGAAAAAGGAACGAAGCGGTCGTAACAACAACCCTTAGAGTGTACTAGAGTATTCCAGTCTTTCACCAAATTTGAATGGCTGAAATACGTTTGTGAGTGTTTTGAATAGTACAGTCTTTATTTTATTTTTACAGATAAAAATTTATATTCACGATGGCAAGAATGATAGTGAGTTTATCGAGATATATAATAGTGTGTTGAGATCGGTTATAGATATGATAAATATGTACAACAGGCTTATTTGCTAGTTAAATAAATGGCTAGAATAATAATAATAATAATGTTAAATTAAAAAAAATGGAATACGAAAATAAATAGGAACATATCCAACAAAAAGCAGAGCATTAGCAAAAACAAGGACTATGCGAATTGTAGAAATAAACAAGACAGATAACTTCTCTTGCGATCGATTATCGTTGGAAAATAACTATTGTCTGTTGGAGATTTTTTACTGACAAGAGAACTACCAAAACTGTTAGCCACCGTTTTAGCTCATATTAGATTCATCAGAAGGTCTAGAAAAGATTAAAGAAAAGCTGAAAAGTGTTAGTGACCATAAGCCTCTGGAGCGAAGTTATGACCGTTTTACTGAGTTTTCGATCCAGCTGTGAATATCTACCGAAACATCAAATAACAGCATTTCGACCTTAAATTTTGCCTAGAGATAGAGCTTCTTGTAACTGGAATGTTCTGAAAGTTTCAAACCAAAATATTACTGTTCGATTCTTTTGTACATACTGCACTACAGGCTAAAGTTTTAGTGAAACGACTATAACTCTGTAAGAAACATTTAGAAGCCCTTATTCTTTTGGGTTTTTTTAATATCTCATTGAGATCTACCTTATGTACAGAATCCGAAATCAAAAGCGGTATTCAAGTTGAGAAGGTTTTCTCATCAGTACAACCCAAAGAGACTACGTTGATAAGTTGTTTTTTGAATAATTTTTCTTTTATTTTTAGTCGGACGATGTAGTCATCCGATAACATTTACATCACCAATGACTTCGTTCTAATCACTATTTTCATTCTCAATTTGACACAGGTGCAACATCTTTTGTTCTTTTTAATGTTAGTTCAACATTCGAAAGAAGTTTATATGATACTTTTCTTTTATCATTTGTGTCATATGTATTTTCATATAATATTTCAACTCTAATCCTTTTGTTCAATACTATACTCCTGCTTTTATTTATTTATCTGTATTAGACGAGGTGATTTTTTCTTGGTTTTTTTTCTTTCTTGTCAAACAGGCGTATTGTTTATCGTTTAATTTTATCTAAAAAAAATTCTTCTGCTATCTTCTTCTTGTTCGTTTTTATCATATGTTTTTTGCTTCACTTTGTTCAAATCGTATATAGACATGAGCGTGTGTATTTATGTACGGTTACTGATGATGATTATTTTCTTTTAAACGAATTTTTCATATTGATGTTATAATACGACGTTTTTCTTTGTGTGCGTTTATATATAGCTTTTACCTACACGTTTTAACTACATTTCATTTTATAGTTTAAAAAAAAGTCAAACTTCAATTTTTCTGTTTGTTCACACTCTTTCCTATTTACACTAGATAGATTGATGTCTCTCTTACTTTTTTATTATTACAAAACGTATCTTCTTTATTTCCTTGTTTTCCTTTTTTCTTTGAAAAGTTCATTTATATTTGTTGGTATTCATATTTTATTTATTTATTTATATATATATGTATACCAATAAAAGGTTTGAGAGACATTTATTAATTCTGATGGTTTTCTTTGTTTACTATACTTGTCAAAAACAAATCTTAATGGAAAAAGTCCTATTATTGTTTCAAACGCTTATGTTGATATAAAAAAATTTTTTTTTATTTTTTTTAATTTAAAAGTAGAAATATTAGGAGAAAAAAACCCAGAAAAAGTATCAGTCATATATATGAGTTAATTAATCATCTTGCTTTTCTTCATGTTCTGATAATTTCATATAATCATCAATTAAATCACCAATAATATCACCAATGTCTGTATCAAATGTATATTTTCTCGATGTACGTCCTAAACGTACTTCAAGAAAGAGTGAAATAGCATTTGAATTAAAATTTAGATTATAATATGGAAATTTAGCCAAAACCTCCTTGAAAAAAGAAAAAAAAGATAATTTCAATTAAAAGAAAATACGAATCTTACTTTTGTAGCTGCATCCAAAATCTCGACACCATTTTGATTGATACAAATATAAATATCTTCAGGAAATTCTGCTTCAGTTTCGTTCTGTAAAAAAAAAAAAAAAGGAAATAATTGTAAATAAAATATACAAAGTATTCAAAAAAGAAATGATGGCACCATCGAGTACACGAAGCAATCGATAAAAAAATTTCTTTTTCTGTACACTTAGATCTAAAACCACCAACTACAAAATTTTAGTACTTAATATCCTATCTTTCAAAGGTTAGTTAATACTGACCTTTTACCACTATCATATCCTCATGAGAAAAAAACAGCAAAAAATACCTTGCAAGAGTTGCGCTCATTTTCGTTTCCATAAATTATTATTAGTTTTTTATAAACTACACTAAAAGATAGAGCATGTAAAACTGAATAAAACGAACTATTTCAATGTAGTACTGTATTGCTCAGTTCAAGTATTAAAAGGTGAACATGAATAAAATATGTCTCTTTGGATAAGCCTAAAATATCCATTTGGTAACAATCTCTCTCATATCGAGATTCAAAATCAAAGAGTTCCAAGCTGAATTTTATATATACTATGCAACTTTTTATTCTTTACAAAATAATTCAAAGATGTTGAAAAATAAATGGCACCTTTCGATCGAAATGAGGTCCATATCTGTCTGTTCGATGATGGTCTTTCAATGAAAGAAAAAAAACGTTTTTAGCGGTTTTCATTGTCATGACACAGTTGTAGGATCAAATGAATGCAACCTTCGAAATCATTGTCAAGAACTACATTCAATAAAATACATTTAGGAGATTTTTCCTGCAAAAATTCACCTATGGTTCCTTAGATGTAAGTTTTTTTGCAGGAAAAATCTCTAAAATATATTTCATTGAATGTGGTTCTTGACAATGATTTCGAAGGTTACATTCATTTTATCTTACAACTGTGTCATGACAATTAAAACTGCTAAAAATATTTCTTTTATTTCCGTATTGAAAAATCATTATACAAGACAGATATGAATCTCTTTTTTCTTTGAATGTACCATTTGGGTTTGAATATTTTTCTACTGTTTTATAAAAAATAAAAATTTGCAGAACATATATATAAAATCCAGCTTGAAACTCTTTGTTTCTGAATTCTGATATGAGATAGATTGTTATCAAATAATGCTTCATTCATGTTCATCTTATAAAACTTGAGCGGAACAACACTGTATTATATGGAAATAGGCCATTTTACTGAGTTTTGAATATTCTATTTTTTGATATAATTTATAAAAATTAGAGTGATTTGCGGAAATTAAAACAAATACAACTTTCACAAGGTATTTTTTTTTGCTGTTGTTTTCTCATAAGGATATAATAGTGATAAAAAGTAGATATTGACCAACTTTTGGAAAAAAGGATATTGAACACTAGAATTTTGAAGTTGATGGTTTCAAACATCAATACATAAGAAAATAAGCAATTTTTTTTTATTGAGCGTCTCGTATGTTCAATAGCTTCTTGATTGCTCGCTGAAATATTCGTCAGAACCATTTACATGATCGTTTATCTTTATGAAAATATTTTTTATTCGACTCTTATGATAAATTTACCTTAATTGGATACATTGTCGTACCATACGTTGGCCAAGCAGAAACATGTTTTAAAAAGCGAAATTTTGCTTCATCTTCACTCACATCTCGAAGATTACCTGCAGCCGCGTAGATTTTCTAATAAATAATACAAATATGAAATATCATGAACACATCCTGTATTCTTACTTTAGCCCAATCAGATTGTGATGTTACTTTGATTAAATATTCTGGAACAAAAGTTCTTAGATTCGCTCTAAATATTTATAATTTTCTTTTTGTATATTTTTGAATAGAACGAAAATAATATTGACTTACTCAGGTGCTCCTCTGCCTCGATCAGCTCTGCCTAATAAAGCAGCTAAATTAGCTGCTTCCTCAACTTCTAACTTATGTAGACCTAACATATAATTATCTCTTTCTTGATAAAAATGAATCATAGAATCAGCTTGTTTATCTTCACCCGGTATAATATCAACCCAAAGTTTTCGACGGAAATGAACTTTATAATCAAGTTTTTCTATAAAATAATGTAAAAGTAACAATAACAATAATTCGAATCATCAATAGTTAATTCTTACTCTTATCATGACCACGAAGTTGTGTTAGAAAATCAAAAAAGTAAGTATTACTTGGAATACTAACTTCTACAATATATAAAAATAATGATGAACAAAAATAATATGAGAAAAAAAAACTAGTTCACTGACGTTTTTTGTCTGTTTCTAAATACAATGAAAGTCCAGTTGCTGATGATGGAACAAATTTAAGTTCTCGACAAATATTAGAAACTAATTCACTCGCTTTTGTTGTTGAATCAACAATAAAATCTTGTTCATGTCCATTTGGAAAATGAATATATTGACGAATTTTGACACGATTGATATTTGCATTACATTCAATTATATGTGGACCACGAACACGTTCACCTTGTCTAAATAAATTTAGAATAAAGTTTGAAAAAAAACCAACAATTCAAAACAAAAACATATTTACTTTTGAATTTTTTGAATACGATTATAACATTCTAATGCTGTTGGATTTGAACTTGAACGAAGAAAAAGTGTAACATGATAAAGAAGAACTTTTCCAGGTACCAGAACACCCGTTAAAAGCCAAAGTAATTCCCAAAGACGTGTTTCAATTTTTAAATCAGGACAAAATGTTAATTGTTTTATCAATTGACAATATAATTCTTCTTTCAAGATTTTCTAAAAATCATCATATATAATATTTAATCTGCTTCTTTTTTTGGTGAAACATAATTTAAAAAAGAGTTCTGAAATATACTAGTAAAAATTTTGATCCACCTTAGATCGCGGGAACGCCGCAACTTCTCTTAGTCCACTAGTGACGCTTAATCATCGATTGTTACCTGTATGTCTTATTAATTTTTTTCCCTCTTCGATGGTAATTTCCTAACTGATACATCGCTTTTGAATTCAGAGAATGTGCATCATGTAAGCTCTTAATGAGCTACGAATGCGCTAAGAAGAATTCAAGCTGCTAGGTTATTGTATCAAGATACTGCATTTTTACGTTACTTTTTATCACACTACCGTGGTTCCTCTCTGCAGGGATACCAGAAAAACTGAGTTTTGAATTTCAATTTGAAACTTTTCATAGAGGCTAACTTTCATGAAACGACTAGTTTATTGTGTAAGTTTCGGGTCGTCTGAGTGCTGCTATTCCAAAATAAGGACGTCAGAGTCTATCGGTACATATAAGTGACGTAAAAACATGTGTATGCTATAGTTGTATGTTAGAGTAAGAGCAATCAGAAGATCTGAAACTTTCACAATAAACTAATTCCATTGAGATCTGCGTTTCAGCAAAGTTTAAAGTTGAAATTCAAAGCTCAATACGAGCTGCAAGATGTACATTGTTCAGAATCAGAAATGACATTTTGGCTGGGAACCTTCCCGCGTTAGTATTTCATAGAAGTTGTGTAATGAAACTTTGTTGAAAGTCAACTATGTCAAATATCACTATCCACTGACGAAGCAATGTGACAACTCGCTAGTCCACTTTCAGTATGGATTTCAGACCAACTGGTATACTGACCGGTTCAGTCTGGCCTGCTCAGATCGGTTTCATCTCTATCCTCTCCTGCTCTAGATCGTGATAGACAAATATGGAAGCGTTCCAAACTATGTATCAATAACCTTTCACTACAATATATGAACTAGTTCTCGATTATATTTCTGAAGGATTAAGTAAAAGAAAGATGAAGAAATGTGTCTCAAAATAGGAAGAATAAAACAATTTTCCTACGTTTAGGAATAGAGACTACATCGTGTTTCACATTTGAACTCCGTAGAGATTACGCAAATAGGTTTTTCGTATAACTTACATTTTTCTCAAATGCATAATCAAATATACTATCCAAATCACTTTGTTGAATTTTTTTTCTTTCTTGTGGTGTCATCTTTGCATAATTCATTATATTACGAAACATAGAGACAGCCTTAGCTGCAAGTTCACCTTGACCCTCAAACCGATGTAATAATGGTCCTTTAATTTCTGTTGCTTCATAATGCCATGCTGTCGTTTTTCTTGAACGAAAGTATTTCTGAGCATAAGCTTCTAATGTATGTAAATTAATATGAACTTCTTGTTCAATTTCTTGATTTAAATCAACAGCACGTTTCATTACGTGTAAAACAAGACCTCTCTAAATTAGCGTCAAATTTAACAATACAAAAAAAAAGGAAAAACAAATATTCTTTTACCAAAATTTTTGATTCTGGTTTACTTGTACAAGGAATAATATAAACAATATCAGCTGGAAATTCACCTTCACGATTTGTTCGATCATTTATACCTGTCATTAAACCGGCTTCAATATTCTTTTTGCTTTCATCATCAAGAACAATAATATCACCACGAAGTAATTCTAATTTACCGGCACCACGTTCTAATTAAAGAAAAAAAATAACAAATAAAGAATATTTTAAAATTGATTTTAAATTTTTGTGATTTACTCGTCGGTTTATAATCTTTTCGAGCAATAGCTAATGTTGATCGGTCTTTCAAATTCCTATGAATAAGATTAAGTAAAATTCCAAGATCAGCACCCACTAAATTAAATTAAAGAAAAATATAAGTACTAATTCTTAAGCTTCGCAGCCATGCAATTGGCTCAAGACTGTGACTGGGAAGGATGTATCAGGGCGTATCTCATAGAGGTAGTAACAAATTTAAGAAAGTCTTGATATTTTTCCTGAATAATAACAAAGAATTTTCAATTATCGATGGAGTATACGTCTACCCCCGGTATTCATGGGTTTTTATACAGATTATAATATTTACTTGGCAATGTGAATGAAAAATCTCCATAGACAGTTTGTAAAGTATAATGATGATAATTTAAAACCGGATCACTAAAAAGAAAAAAAAAACTTAATTGAACATTTTTATTTATATCTATTGGATTACTTACTGATCACCAATAATATCGGTAATTTCTGAATAGTTAATTTCGCTTAATAAAACATATGTATCATCAGCATAGAAACGAATTTTATCTCGTCCAACAGAAATAGTTGCAAATTCAACTTCATCAATTAATGGACCTGAAAGTGTTTGTATTTGAAACACACGTGAAAATGTAACAGGCCATTTTGTTTGTGCATATAAAATAACATCTTTTTTTATTTCACGCTTGATTTGTTCACGTGTTTTAAATTTTTGTTTAAGTCGTTTTATAACACGTTTAAACTTTAATAAAAAGACAAAAAACAAAACAAAATTTTCTTATTTTTTTTATTTTCTTTGACTTACATCATTATCTTTATGAATAGCAAGTTCTACCATACTCTCGAGTTGTTTTTCAGTGACTAAAGGTTGTTGTTTTTTTCTATTCATTAGTTTACCATCACCATTTTGTGGTACAACATATGATGTTGGTAAAAGTTCTTGTATAACTTGTCTCATTTTATCGGCTTCGACATCTTTTCCATGAGTTATATAATAATGTTGAACGGCAAGCAATACGAATTCTTCTGGATCGAGTCCGCCACCATATGAATAGACATCAGTTCGAATACCTGACAAGATATATTTTATTTTATGTGTAAACAATAAAATGAAAGTTTATAATTAATTACATACCATTAATAATTTGATCGTAGATAAGATCAATAGAAACGGGATCATCATCGAGATTTTCCCATGGAGCAAATAATTGTTTACAAAAAATATAGGTAATATCAAGATTCCGAGGATCTTCTCCCTTTTGTATTTGTCCCATTTCAAGACGAGATAATACATCAAATATGTGATCGTTATTAAAACCAATAGAATAACCCTATGGTCATGAAAAAATAATTCGTAAAATTTCTCAAACTAAATATAAAGAATTTTACTTCTGCTTGTGATTCAGCAAATAATGACCAACCAAATTTTGCCGTAATATTTAATTGTTTAGCTAATTCTGAACAAGCTTCTTCAGCTATGGTGGCTGAATCACAACAAACTGATTTTCGATCTTCACCATGAATTACTTTTACACTAATTATTAATGGTGATGCTTGTTGAATAGCATTTATTTCTTCAATACTTAATGGTTCATATCGACTTCCATTACGATATGTTCTTCTTAATGCAAATTCAGCAAAATTACCAAGAGCTGGTGGACCAGTTTGAATAAAATTTCGAAGAAATCGAACTAACTAAACAAATCAACATTTAAAAGAAACGAGGTACTTTTATACAATAGAAAAAAAGGCAAACTAACATTTGAACCAGGTGGAAATGTATATAAACATAAACAAAGAAGAAACCATCCACGCATATATGATCTATCCCGTTGTTCTGCTTTTTCAGGATTTCGACTTTTCTTTTCACGTAATGCTGGATGATCATTTAATTGCTTGCAAATCTGACATAAAATTTCATCTCTAATAAATATATAGAAAATGATTCTTAGAAAAAAAAATGCTAATTTAATACTACCTTAATCGACGACGTATAATACCTAACATGGTAATCATTTGAACTTTTTCTAATGATGTTAAATAACGATCTTCAATCAATGGATTTTCATTTTTTATTCGTTCGTCAAGATAAACTGATTTTTTACTAAATGCTCGAATACGATCCATAGCTTTTGAGCGAAGACTTCTTGTTTTTTTCTTTTTTGTTATTTAAAATAATAAATAAATATACTAAATAATCATAAAAAAAAAATTTTTACTTTTTCATATGGATCTTTTTCTTCTTCAAGTTTCATTTGATATTGTTGAACAATTATTGGATAAAGTTCAGATACAAGAATATCATACTGGGAGTCTAAAATTTGAGATTCTTTATCATTTTTTGAACTTTTTACTACTGGTGGATTAGTATCATCTTTATCACCCATAAATTTCATTATCATTTGAAATGTTGCTACTGCTGCCTAATATATCAATGAATTTAAATGAATGATTTTCAAGACAAGAGAAGAACATTACTTTTTGATCAACAGTGGATTTAAGATCTAGTAATGGTCGAATAATTTCACTTGATGTATGTTTACTATCGTAACCATGTTGAAAATATTTAGCAGCAAATTTCTCAAATGAATTTCGTGAAACATCACTTTTAAATGGATCTGTTTCTTCTCTTAATTGACGTTGTAACTAAAAATAAAAAATATTTATTTTTCGTTAAATAAATTTCTTTTTATATATTGACAAACCATTGGTAAGCCATCTTCATCCATACGATTACCATCTCTATAACGTTTTGGAATTCCTAATCGTTTTTCAAGTGCTCGAGCAAGATCTGAACGTAATTGTTCACGTATATCTTCATCTAAATTAGCTAAACGTGCGTCATATGCGGCTTGTGCTGCTTCACGAGCTTTCTCTGGTCCTAATTCTGGTGTTAATAATTGTTCTTCTTCATTTCGAAATGCTTCATATTCTGCTAATTTCATTGCCTAAATCAAATAAAATTATTAATAAAAAAAATAATAATTTTTGATTGTTTATTTTTTTTCTTTTTGTACCTTAATTTGTTCACGTCGTACTTCACGCCATCCTAAATATTGAATAACCTTTTCTTGAAGAATAGCAAAAGCTTTTGGACGAAATTGAGCATTTTTTCGTGCTAAATATCCTCGACTCAAATTCTGCAAGTAATAATCAAAATAGATTTCGTATTGCATTTCAATCATGTCATCAAACCTGAATACGAGGTAAAATTTCATAAAAAAATTTTTGTTTTTCACCAATATGTTGCATATCATATAACGCTTGTAAACGTCGAAAACCATTACGCATCTATTAAGAGCAAACCAATTTCTATTGTATATAGTACAATAAAAATATCTTACTTCACAATAAGCACGTCTTTCAGCATAGCATAACCATGATTGTTGTAACCATAAAGCTAATTTTCTTGCTCGTTGAAATTGTCGTTGAGCATAATAACGACGTACAGCTTTTTGTAATGCTAATATACGATCAGCAAGAATTTTTTGTCTTGCTTGTTCTAACATAGCATCATGATCATCTTTAAGAAATACTTTAGTTTTTCCTATTTGATAATCTTGTCCAGGTAATGCTAATTCACAAATTTTTGTTGCTATTGTTCGTTGATCACTACGATCACCACGTGCTTCAGCTTTTTTATGCATACGTTCAAGTGATGGTGCAATAGCAGCATAACGATGAACAAATTCATTAAAATCATGTCGTATAGGATAACCAATACGACGAATATTTATTGTTTCCATCATACCAGAATAACGAAGTTGTTGTACAACACGTTCTCGATCAAAATTCTATGAAAATAATCTTTTTTTTTTGTTTTACGGAAAAAAACGATCTAATTACATACATGAACAGCTTTAAATTCATTTGGTTTGATACAACGAATAAAGAATGGTTCACATTGACGAAGTGTAATGAGTAATTGTTCAAGTGATTTACGAAATTGTGCGGCTAATGATGGCTTACGTTTTTTATCATCCTAAAGAAAAATTTCTGATATTTTCCAAAAGAAATCAAATTATAAAATAGTAAACATATTGAAATCATGACGGTCAATTGAAAAAGAAAACGTTTTATGAAGAATACTCAACTATAGGAAACCGAATGTATATATGTTAGCATCCAAAATGAGATGACATTCCCCTTCTGTTTGAATGCTAACAAATACAGTTCCCATTCTCAAAGGATTTAAAAAAAAAAAACTTTAGTTAAAACGTTGCTCTATTGTACACATATATATATTACTTTCAATTCAGTATAGTATGATTATAACTTACAAGATTTAAAGCCTCAAGTGGAAATATTGCTTGAATTAAACGATTGGTACTTTTGGCTAAAACATGTTTCAAATCATTACTGAATGTATCACGATTTTTTTCAAGAAAATCTATAAAGTTATAGAGAAAATATTTATTTTGTATCAAAAAAATATAATTAATTAATAACTTACTAAGACAATCGTAAGGAACTGGTCCAGCAAAATGTTTGACACCAAATACAAGTGATTTGTGTACTTGACGTTTTGAGGGAGCAATAAAATGTTTATTTTTTGCATGTTGTTGTTGAAGTTTTTCCCATAATGTTCGATCTGTACCTTGTGGTACAATCATTTCTTCATCAATCATTGATATAATACTCATACGACCACGTGCTAATAAATCAATTATATCTTGATTATCAATAAAATTAATTTTTTTCCAATTAACACCTTCTTTTTCATATTCAGCCTTTCAAAAGAAGATTTTATTTGTTTAGAAAAACAAAGCAAAATAAGACTTGGTTTTTTTTTTACTTGTTCAAGTTTAAAAACATGATGAACAAAAAATTGTTGTAATTCTTCATTTGTATAATTAATACATAATTGTTCAAAACTAAATGTATGAATTGTTTTTGTTTTATGTTAATAATCTTTTATAATTAACTAACCTATTTTGTTCAAATTTTTCAAAACCAAATATATCAAGAACACCAATTGATCGTAATCGATCATCGGATTGTTTAGGAAGATTCGCATTATTTTGATTATTCATGGTTACATTAATTCGTGTTATTAACCATTCAAACATTTGTCCGTATATTCCTTTGACAAAAGCATCTCTAAATATATAATTTATATAAAAAAAATAAATCAATGTTTTACTTTTTATCTTACCTAACATCAGCAGCAGATGATGTATTCAATGCTCTTGCTACTTTACCTTCGTTAACTTCAAGTGTTCTTATAACTAATGCACTAGTTAATTGTCTACTATCAACCTATTGAAATAAATTTCTTAGATGATTTTATATTCTTCTATTAACTTATTTTTTCTTACTTCAAGAAGTGAAGCAACAAATTCGACTAGTTTTGGATCTTTTATTACTACACCATCTATACCTTTTGATAATTTTGCTATGAAATTAAACAAAAAGATAATAATTATAGTTGTTATTACTATTCCTGACAGATTAAAGTGTGAAATACGATTGAAATATTCTTGTTTAGTCATCGAGAGAATGTTTTATTCTATCTATTGTGGAGCACATTTTTTCAATGTCCTTTACTTTATTCTCAAAAAATGCAATAAGGAAAAGTTTATATAGATTGTAATGAGACGTGTTTGATATTTGATCTTTGATCATATATTAACAACATTTGTAACGATCTCTTGTCAGCGTTCGTCATAGTTTGCGATGAATACTAACTGAGGTCTGTCACGATCTGGGAGGAGATGTGAACTTCTACCAAATACACTTCAACACTCCTTTTAGATCGCGTTATATAAAACTGATTACTGAAGATGACGAAGACAGAAAAAATAACATAAAAAATACCAAGTTTATTAGATCTAGAACAAAAATCCGATCACATCCTGTTTTTTTACTTGATAAGCTCTATTCACCAGAGCCATACAATGATATGTAAAATCAGTGACTAATCAAAAAAAAACAATACTTTCGTTCTTCTGTATTTTCTTAGACAGATAATATCCATCTGATGGCTATTATAGTCTCTAATAAAGTGCTGAGATCAAATGTATTACCAATTGTGAGACTTCTTTATTCGTAATAAAGACGATTTTTATCGAAATCGAATCTGACAACTTTTTAGTATCTGAGACTAGACTCAGCAATTTCTTTTCCCTGTCATTATCTAGCTTATTTGATGAACATTTACCAATATATTGAATATTTCCAAGATGTAAAACAACAGCTAATATACGTAAAATTTCAAAAAGTTCATCATCAGTAAACATTAAAACTTTGCATGCGTGTCGAATTGTTCTCCATTCTTCAGCATCATTACGTGTATCACATTTTGGTGAACTCTAAATTTTTTTCAAAAATCATATAAATAAAAATTAGAGATTATATTTATACTTTATTTAAATAAGCATAATCCATTGGTTTGGTTAATCTTAATTTATTTCGTTCTTCACTACCTAAACCGGCTAATACACAATAAAATATATGATAATTTCGTTCTTCTTTTGCCTATTAAAATATTAATAAATATAATAAAAAATCATAATTGAAATAAACTTTACTTGTGAAACAAGACGAATTTTTTCAAGTAAATATTGATCAACATATGCATTTGAAATACCACCATTACTATCAAAATTTACAGTTATATATTTACCAAATCGACTACTATTATCATTTCGAAGTGTTTTAGCATTTCCAAACGCTATATAACAATGAATTATATACTGTCTTATTTTTATACAAAATAATATAATTTTTGTTTTATTCTTACCTTCCATAATAGGATTAGCTTCAAGTATTTGTTGTTCAATACTCGAATTTTTTTTCGTTCCACTTATAGCAGCTAAACATTGTAAAATATGTTTAGTTGATTCAGTTTTACCAGCACCTGATTCACCACTAAATAAATTCATATTTAAATTTACATATTTATTTAAAATTTTCGTACAAATGATTTACCTGATAATAACACATTGATTATATTTAGCATTTGGATCACTATGTTCACGTAACATGTTTTGATAAGCATTATCACCAATAGCAAATGTATGTGGCTCTAATTCACCAAATTTTCTATTACGATATGCACGTAGATGTTCTTGACTATATAAATCAAGTGGTGTATATGGATTAACAGCAATTAAAATTGATCCAATATAAGTCTAGGAAAAGAAAACAATCAAATCACTAATGTCATAAAAAAATTTAAAACTAACTTACATAGATTTTATCTTTATTATAACGTAAAAGTATATTACGACATATAGCGCCTTCAGTCAAATCACCTAAATGAATCATATCCGGAATATCAGAATGCGATGTTGCATGCATTTTTTTAAAATTAGCCGGATTATTAACAATAATCCGTTCCTAAAGAATAAAAAATTAATAAGATAAAGAAAATAAATTTTGTTTTCGCAATTTAAAGACCTTGCCATTATCATCAATAACTTTAAGTTGATTTTGATTAACATCGATAACTCGAGCGCCGATTTCAACATCAAATTCACCCTGTTTATCGGGTGGTAACCAAATGTATGCACTCTAAAACCAACGTTTAAAAAAATTTCCATGGACCTGACATTTCAACTTACAGTTGTCATATTGTAGATAGAAATAAAACGCAAAAACGACTGGTTATTATTGTCGAACGTTCGTATAATTATTCATTTTATGTCCTTCGCTACAGGGTAATAGAAAAAAGAAAAATGATTGAGTTTTTTTCGTTCTCATATTATATCAAAGTCAAGTCGAGATACAAATAAAAGAGCGCAAAAACGAAAAAAAATAGAAGACGACAGTCTCAATCAATCATGCGGAAAGTTATCTAATACAGCAAAAAAAAGAGAAAAAAAGAAGGAAACTTTTGAAAAACTTTATCAATGTTTTATCATACATATTCTTTTGTTTGAAAATTCTTCACTATAAGAAAAAATATCTCCTTTTTACTATATCTGTTCGAAGATCAACATTTGTTCATTTTTTCAGTGAAAAATAGCGTCATCTTTTGAAAAATTCTAAATCAATATTTGGTGGTTTTCTATTAATATCCTATTGGTTTCTTTCCTATTACTATTTCACGAATAGATAATGAAACTAATGATTGATTGATGGATAGATACAGTTCTTGAAGTTCGATCGAACTAAAAATAAAAATGTACCGATTGAGTATAAACCGCAAAATTTAATATTTTAGACATTAATATTAATGTTTACAATTCGGTATTGTTCAAAACGATTTCTAACACATTCAATAATTTCTCGTCCTTATCGTCATTTATCCCTTGATGTTACTAGTGCTCAAAAAACGAATGAAGAATTGCAACCAACAATAAATATTGTTAAAGAAGATCTTCATTTAATTCATCGTGATATTTTGCAAGTAAGTTAAACTTGATTTATCAGAGCCTTTGGTTTTTTTTTCTAGATTTCCCCTTTTTTTTTGATAAAAAAAAATGTTTTTATCGTTTGTGGTTTATGATGAAAGTGATGAATTAATAGATCTTTTTCATTCATTAGAAACAAAATGATTATATTATTCCATCACATCAACATCATACAATGATTGACTAACAATTAGATCTATCGAATTTTATTTATTGTTCAAAAAATTGTATCCATAGACAATAAAAAAAAAGATTGTAATGCATCTGCATTTTTTCATAATATGTTCGATTGAAAATCATCTATCGATTGCTATTGAAAAATGCGAAAAACTCTACACGTTATTTTTTTTTATACGTGTATTACATGAGAATGTTCAATAAGCGTTTTTCAGTGTCAAACTTAATGATTGTTCGGATTCCACTGATCTTAAGTCTTTAAAAAAAGTTGACCCACAAGAAAAATGTAGCAATAATAATTTTACAACTGATAGATAACAAGCAAAACTTGATTTAAGTTTTCAAGAGGGACAAATAATTAAATTTTATACCGAGAATATTTCTACTGCCAGATTCATACATCGCATAATTAATTTTAACGTTAGTATCCGTAAATTCTAATATACATTATGATTTAAAGTAGATGTAATGTTAAATCATATTTTATAATATCAATTTTTATTTCTAATTATGTCATGCATTTCTTTATAATCTCAATGACATATGTATAGTAATTATTTGCATTTTTTTTTCTTTTTAGCGTCTGGGATGTAATGAACACGAATTGAATGAATTAGCGAAATATCATTTTGATTCGAAAGGTAAACTTATTCGACCAATGATTATATGTACGATGGCAAGAAGTTTTAATCAACAAGAAGACAAGTGAGAAATATTAAAAATATGAAGAGAGAAAAGAAAGCTTAAGCGAAATAAGGAGCAGTATTGTTTTTAACATTCTGTTTATATTAACTTGAAGGACTATTTGATTGTTTCTTTTTCGTTTCCGATATATAAAAATAAGGATACATCTCCCTGCTCTCTTTAAACTAACTTTTATATATTCATGTTACATTATTGAAATAAAGTCACGAGATCAATTACCCTTGTCAAGCGTGAAACAAAGATTTTGATATGTTTTCAGTATAAAAGAAAAAAAATGTTCTTGATCAATAGATTTTCCGTAATAATCAAATAATACTGATAGAAATAAATGAAAAGCATACAGATAATACAAAGAGATGTAGCATTACTCAACTCTCTATTCCTTTTCCTCATGAAATTTCACGAAGAAGAGCATTTATTACATCATCACAACTTCCAAAACAACAGTAATATTACTAAACAGTGTATGGATTATAATATACCTTAAAAATAATGAATCAACCCGCTTAACGTGCCCAATTAAAAGCAGACTGATAACATTGTCAGCGCAGTTTCTTTGGAAACAAAATATGGGACTTACATATATTCTTTAGTCTCACAATCCCAATTCATCAGAAGTAAAGTGAAAAGTCTCAGTCCGACTATACTTGTTTTCCAAAAATAATTGATTGTCTGGGAAATGATCTGTCTTATTTATATCTGCATTTCTAAAAGAATTTTTTTACTGACAATCTATCTTTTGTGTGTCTTACTGCTTGGCATTTTCATATTCCGCTTTTTCTTTATTTAACATTATTATTATTATTATTATTATTATTCTAACCATTAATTTAATGAACACATTATTTTCTAAAGGTATAACATGATCGATACACGCATTTTTGTGTGGATGATATGACGACGGTAGCAAACCAAACCATCACTACTAGGGATGTGCAGGATCTAGTTTCCTTGATTCTGTTCTAGAGAAAAATATTCCAGAATTTGTTAACATCAAAGCTAAAAAAGTTCTTCAATACTGATCTTTTTTTTCTTTAATTGACGACTAGCACTCTTTTCAACCATCTTCTCTCTTGAATTACACGGTGCGTTCAAAAAGTTCCAGGAATGATTTTATTTAAAAACAATAAGAAGCGCTGCTGCATTTCTATTATTGCCTGTGCGTAGTTCATACAGTCCTCTATCTATAGATATCATGAGCTCAGTTGAATTAAACATATATATGGAAATATAGAAATATATTTTAGTCCACTGTATATACACTGACAGAAAATCAAAAATTTTGAGCGTCAATCAGTGAGAAAATTTCTTGTTCTAGAAAGCCATGCCTCATTTAATATTTATGAATGTATAGTGATAGTTTACGATGATCGATCGATTCTCTATCACTCACTGCGGCTTCTGAATGGAATCATTGTTGTAAAGATGGATTACCATACATGATAATAATCTATATGTCAATAACATGACTATTAAAAACTTTTAGAAGACTGATAATGTAAGAAAGTTGAATTGCACCTGGATAAATACCAGACACTGTTCACATTTTAAATTTACAGTGCATAGTATTTTATGTGATCAATTATATATGACTAAAGTCAGTTTACGAAAATACCACATACTCTACCATGATGTCAACGATGAGTCGACCATATCTAGAATCATTCTTATTAACCTTTAGAACGACAAGTCCATTCAAATATCGTGATATGTGACAAAGCTTTATTACTGCAAACTGTTACCATATAGTTATAAATACTGAATGGCAACTCGCCTTTCAAAACATAAAACTTTGCTCAAGTTTTTAATTTTCCGTCAGTGTATATACAGTTGTCTAAAATATATTTCTATATTTTCATATATATGTTTAATTCAACTGAGCTTATGATGTCTATAGATAGAGGACTGTATGAACTACGTATAGGCAATACTACAAATACAGCAGAGCTTCTTATTGTTTTTGAATAAAATCAGTCCGGAAAATTTTTGAACGCACCAAGTGTGTTCTATTGAATGATTGATGAGATATTTCACCGAAAATAATACAATATTTCACTATAATGTTTAGTTCTGGTCCTGCACATCTCTAATCATTACCCATCATCTTTAACATCTTGGATATCAATTTTTATCCAAGCAAAAATCAAAAATCACACTATTTAGAGCATTTAGAAATGTATTACAGCCGTTCAAATTTCGAAGAAGGCTATGGAATGTTTTGAAACAGCGTAAGTCTTGCTCTTAATGCTGTTCAGTGCCTTTTTGTATTACTGAGGAACTCTAGGAAATAAATGTGATTCTTGTTGTTCTTAATTACCATAGAAATGTACCTAATCATCACTAATCTTTTTCGCTCCGTCCCATGATCGATTGCTACAGCTTAGGAATGAGGGATCTGCAGTATGTAATCATGCGTAAAATAATGTTAATATCGCTGTTGTAATAAATAGTAGTTTGTCCATGACTGAGAATTGCCCTTTTGTAGTATCTTCGAAAGATGAATGAATAAAATTTTAAATTACAGCATAACTTAGTATTCAATGAGACCTATCATTTGAGATATGAAACATTTCAAGCAAATCTATATAAAAAGAAATATTTGTGAGCAAGATATGAAACTTTTTTTTTTTGCAAACAGTTGTATTCGTTATATCGGAAAGATTACATAAAATACTAATGTTTGTAGTACATATGAACTCCATTGCTAGTTCTTCTGTAAAAATAGACTAAGAACATTTTCTGATTGAAAACTCATAACAAAAAACTCTTACACTTTTAAAAATACAAGTCGGAAGAGTTTAAATTTCGCTTCATTCAAAATCTATAAATACTAAAATATGTCATTAGTTATAGTAATTTTTATTTTGTTTAGTGTTCTACATAAAAATCAACAATGTATAGCTACACTTGGAGAAATGATCCATACAGCTAGTTTAATACATGATGATGTTGTTGATTCCAGTGATCGACGAAGAGGCAAGCCAGCTGCAGCTGTTCGATGGGGACCAAGAAAAGTATGTTTTATTGTTTATTACGTGTTTATCAAAGAAAAAAAGAATTTGTTACTTTGTTTGTTGTGTCAGGCTGTATTAGCGGGTGACTATATTCTTGGTATATCATCAATAATGCTTGCTCGTATTGGTAACAGTGATGTGATTTCACTTCTTTCACGTGTTATTCAAGATCTTGTTCGAGGTATGTTCTAGTCATTATTAATTCTATTGAATTATTATAGAAAAAAAAAACAATTTTTTTTGTATTCGTCAGGTGAATTTATGCAATTGTCAACAAAAGAAAGTGATGCTGAACAGTTTCAAGATTATTTAAATAAAACA